ATAATTCAAAATGTGTTAAAAACATATTAGAGCTTACCAGATTTGTTCTATATATACAAATGATTAAAATGTTAAAATCAATTAATTCTAAGGCAGAGATCTCACATATTCGTTCAGTGGAAAGGTCCGTGATCGGTGTAAACTCTAAAACCTTTATATCCTTCTTCACAAACAGGCAGGTCCCTCCGTGCGCGACGTTTCTTCTGCAGTAACTCGAAGCAAGGGTGTATCCATCTATGTTTACACATTTTAAGTGTTTTTCTTCTAGCCAATGTTCGGAGATAGCAAGAACATCACATTTTAACTCTGCGTTGAGAAGAACTTCCAGTTTTAGCGTTTTCTTGTCAATTGCGGCTCAATTCTATCTCAGTCAATACTATCTGGATCGTTTCACCTTCGTTTAATTAATAGTTGATATTTGCAGTCATTAGGCGCTGGCACCGGTTGCGGAGGCTCCTGTTACCAGAACCCAGAATACTTTTCATATCATCACATGTCTTACTACGACTTACATACAGCCTTGAGGGCATTTCGAAAAGTAAGCCCACAAACAGGACGAAAAAAATAACATTAGGTATTTATTGAACAATTTATACTTATTGTAACGGCAGAACATTACGGAATTACAATGTACTTTGTCCTACAGTTTCAATAAAAACTCATTGCACCGAACATCGAAGCCCAATTTATTTTTGTTCCCCTTTGACTATATTTTGACTTGTCCCCTTTGTAATCAAAGGAGTATACCCATCACATCTACAACATTTCGCGTATATACATTTGATTGTTAGAATGAGGCTTGGAAAATAGGTAATAAAGACATACATGTACGAGTATAGAACTCAGTACGACGTACTTTGTAAGACCAATAGTATGAAACGAAATTAATATTTGTAATCCGCCTAGTAAAAATCAACAGCAATTCTTTATTTATAATGATTTGCTGTTATAAAAATAAAAGTAAAAGTCTATATGAGTATGTTGATTTTCAGAAAGAAACATGTGTAGTAAAACATTTTACGAATTTCCTTTATGGTTATATAATGCTTATTTTTTCTTTAGACTTCTTTTTTAAAGATCTCACTATAGAGGTAAACGATTTATAACAAGCGAAACTAAGTATGTTTAAACGTATATTTTCGACAATAAAACTATATATTTCTTGTAATATAGGCAACTAACTATACAAGAACATGGTCAATTGCATGTGGCCTTATATCTGAGTATCAATTGCAGTCAATCATGTTTGCGACAGCGGTGGTCGGGTCTACGTTAGAGTTACATGTGGTCGTTCAGTTTTATGTATTTGTGTGTAGCGTTTGCTGACAGTGGAAGTGATAAAAGTCTTTCACAGTCTCGTTGCTAGCTGTATGTAAATAACAACTGTATATTTTTATAAGGTTGGTTACCTTTGTGTCGTATATGTAATCAAATTATACTATAAAATTAATGAACGTTGCATTTATTATTATTTCTCTTAATAACAAACTCATTAAACCCATGTATTTAATCAAGTGGAAAAAACATCTCTGTTGAAGAATCATTGAGGTCGAAAACTATGACGTGGTAATTATTACACTTTTTATACAATAATCAGAGGTTCTCAAACTGTAAGCCCATTGTTTTATTTACTTACTAGCTTTCGCCCGCGACTCCGTCCGCGTGGAATTTAAAAAAAAAGTAAGAAGCCTATGTGTTCTTCCAGAATACCCAAATTTCATCGATCTATTCATCCATCTAAACTTTCGCAGTTAGAATATTAGAAAGATAATAATAATATTTTAATATTACTAAGAACAATCAAATGTTATTCAAATTCAAGTAATAATAACATATCGAAATTTTTTCACCATTTACACAGTAAAAATTTGATATCATGACGACAGATTAGGAGACTTGCGTTTGAAATTACACAAAAAGGGAAGCAGTTTTAGATATGAAATTTTAGACCTTGCTCTTATTTCGAGGAAATTAGTAATTTTTTACAACTTGCTATTCTTATCTGTAAATTCAATAAAAGTTTGAGATTCACTATCAGAGACTAGACATATTTACAAAAGAACCAGATAATGGTATCACGCAGTCGTTTCCATTTTCCCACAGCCTTTCGACGGATTACATACACACTTGTACCGTCAGCATACCAAGTCGCCTCAGATAAAACCATCATCCAAGAAGAATTATTACCGCTTAGTTTTGAAGTTCTGCGAAAATCGTCATCGATTTTATTTACATCTCTACCAAAATTTTCATTTATATTCAATCATCCAAATACCTTCACTGTTTACTTTAAATTATTTTTCACGTAGATCCAATTTAAAAAGAAAAAAGCAAAAACAAAATATAATCTAGGTATAAAGACATCTAGGTTACATTAGAATAAATCAACATAGGTAAATTGCTTTACATTTGTTCGTAGGTTCGAATGAGAGGCGACAGTCTTCTTTTAAAAGGCTTTTGGTGTTCCGTGGTATTGTTACAATCACGGTGAAAATGGTTCACACTTTGCGAGGAGCGAAGTGCATGACAAATGACGGTGATTTGCTTTGTGTTCAGCGCGGACTGGACGCGGACAACTCTCTAGCGTCCAATCACACGTTTGTTATTGTACGTTAACAGTCAGTTCTCACTGTAGACACTTGTATTAAACCCTATTTATATCCATTTCGTTAACTTTGAAAATAAAGAGATTACGTGTTCAATTACAAGTGGAATTTTATGGCAACTCTCCATTATTACTTCGTTATTCCCTTCGATCAACAATGTACGAGTATTGTTATTCAAATAATTGCTTATATACAAGAAATTTCTGTTATTGATAGTGGAATCTGCAATAAAGTTGTTGACAAAATAATAATGGAATTTAAGCATTCACATTCAGGGATAGAGTAGGAAAAGTAAAGGGAAATGCACTGTAAGGAACGCAACAGAACAAAATTGAACAGTAATTTATAGGTTTGCAGCGGTGGCTTTACACTCTATTGGCTTTGAAGTATTAATTACACACGCAATGCCACGGCATATACGATTCTAATCATCCGTAACGAAACTAATATTGTGCGGTCATATTGAAAACAAGAACTATCCGCCACGATTGGTAATTAAGTAGCTTTTATTAATAAAATAATGCTATAGTTTGGTCTTTAAACATTTAATAAAGATGTTTTGATTAGTGTTATTTCACTGGGATGTATAATCTAGGATATAAAGATATGGGCAAGGAAAACATAAAGGTTTTCTCGTTAAATTATAGTAATGATAGATTAATTTTCCACAATGCCTTTTGTCTTTAGCATATTGCTATTAATCAATAGATGATTTAGTGCTCATAAGAATTTCTTAGGTATTTACACTTAGTGTTGCATTCCAATTGAAAATAGAAAATAACAGATGTATAATATGAGAGAAAATGTTTTTGTCTCTATATTTTCGATCAGACTGTTTGGATATTTCAAATTTATTTTGGTTATCTTACTTAGTTATTATTGCGGTCTAAAAATTACAGTTTTGTCAAGCGGCCACATATCGAAGTATATAAATAAATCAAAGATAATTCACTTGTATGCATGCGGGAAGTTGTTTCATGCGGGATTCAGGATGAAGCAATTTGCATACACTTTGCATGTAAATAAAATATGAATTTTATCTATGAATCACTTCGTCTATCAATAAACGGTATGAATAACCCTCTAGTTGTTTTTAAGTATGTGTAAATCGGTACAATTTGTTAATATTAGTGTAGTTATTTTGGTATAATAATATAGGTATATAGTCGAGGTAAACGTAGTGATTTACTTAAGCACTACCTGCCAAGACTTTCCGCTTAGATTTACTAGTACAGCGTGTCTCTCAACTCATTTATATCATGGACGTTAAACTATCGTGCAGATAAAAGAAGTTATTTGCGGTGAAAGAACACCGCTGTTATATTTTATAAGTGACAACTTCAACGGGCCGATTTCTAATAAATTGTTGCCCGATAGCATCGATTTCCCTACTGAGAAAATGTCTGCATAACAGCCCTAGCGAGAACTGATCGAGAAATCAAAACTGGTAGTGTTTAATTAATTATAACGAGGTAATAAAATAGTAAATTTTGCTAAAACACTGCCATAATCGTAGCAAGAAGATGGTAATTTGCATCTTTAGTATCTAGTCTTATATAAACTTGTTAACTAATGCATTATGAATTAGTAAATATCATACATTTCGTTTGATATAAGTTTCATATCACTAGAATTATCTAGTAAATAATCTTACTCATCTTACTAGTCTTACTAATATTATAAATGCGAAAGTTTTAGTGGATGGATGTTAGCGTTTGAACCCGATAGTCTGGGAGAACACATAGGCCACTCACTGTTGTTTTTTTTTTAATTCCACGAGGATGGAGTCGCGGGCGAAAGCTAGTTTTAAATAATATCAAGCCAAAGTAATTCCCCAAATGATAATTAAATATTCATTGTCTTTAATAAGATTTTGGTGAAGGGCATTTAAATATAATAGAACGGGCGAATGCAACAAAATGGCGTCTAGTAAAGGTCACGCTGTGTGTCCGCAGTTTTGACTAAAAGTCAAGGTGAACTGCATTATATCGTCTTCTTACAAAACGAGACTGTAAACGATATAGGTCTAGTCACGGTCGAATAAAATATAAAGAGATTGTTTTAAAAATTATCCTGCGTTTTACCAAAAAAAATGAATAATGTCTATTTTGTAAAACTGTTAGGTCTTCCCCTTAATTAAAATATACCTTCTTTTATCATTTTTTTCTGTTATGGAATATATAATTCACTCCGTGCATAGGAAAAGGTGACGAAATCATTGGTAGATGGGATGAAATGGAAAAAGATAGATGTCCGTGTAATAAACATCTTACAGGCGCTTTTATAGTGACTGGACTGCTTGTAAAATAAGCATAAAAAACATATTTCCATTTGACTTTGGCTTAAGAATTAAGAAGCCAAGAAAGTTTCTCAGGTCGTTCAATCTTTAATGCAATTGAAATCGTCTTATCGACTTTTGTTCCATAAAATAAAATAATCAAGTTATAAACGAAATATAAAGGAACAAATAATTTAGTGAATTTTATACAAATAGCATAAAATCTTTAGTCCACACATAGGTTTAAAAAACGACGAAGGTTTTGTTCTTGCCAGTTCTCAATGTTGTGCTCAGATGTGTGACTCACTGCCCGAAATTTTTTCCGCATGATGTAAGTTTAAAAGCGAACTGCAATATGAACAAATAATAATAACATATCTATTTCCGTTACTTTTATATCTTCTATCTATAATCACATTTTCATACTAGTACAAAAGACTAATAAAAGTGTGGAAGGATCTTTGTTACTTAGCTACGTTATCTCCAAAACAATTCAACAAGACTCGATGAAATTTCATTTATCATTTCATTATCAGCCTTAGGTCGTCCATTCCTGAACGTAGCCCTCAAAGGCGATGAAATGTAGCACATACATATGTAAAAAATAACCTAGAATTGTACGTAGACTAACTTAGTTTTTTTTTTAAATTCCGAACAGGGAAAATCGCGGGCAAAAGCTAGTCTTCTATATACAAATAAAAATCAATGTAACTATGTAATTGTCCCCTTTCTTAAAGCAGTTGACAGATTTTGTTTAAATTGCTAACCGCAGTTATTTTGATGAACATTAATTACTGACATTGTTTAGGTACATTACTGTTACAATTACTGGCATCATTATTAGGTAGGTTTAGAATGCGACAATGACAATAAGAAATTGCTATGGTAGGTATTCGTACAAATTCCTCAAGAGAACAATACGTAATAGAAATGTATAGCTACATAATCTTATCGTGAATACGCATTTCATAGTCAATAGTATAATTTCAACAGATTATCACGTACAATACTGACGTTAACATTATGTGTTGGGAAACGTGTGAACATTTTCAGAATCTCCAATCTATTTTATGTGCGTCCGTAAACAAACAAGGTGGTGAAGTGTTAATCTTATCTGTTTATATCGCTAATGCGACCAGAGTGATGTGATGTGCGGCTGAGGTAGCGGGAGCAGTGGGGGGCAGGGGGGCATCAGGCTCCGTTAGCCGCGCCGGCGGTGGCCCCAGCCACAGCTGATTTCACATCGCCTCCATCCGACTGAGGTGTCGCGCGTGTTCGTCACTCCGAGGTCGCTAAACGCCGGCAATGTCACGATCCAAACAGAACAATTAAGTTTCAATGAAAAAGTGAATGGTGTTAATTATTTATATTTTTGGAGATATATTATTGTTGAGCCTGAAGGATATTGGTCGTTAGTGAACGCAATCGATATCAAATTTATGCGGGTAAGTTCCTTGTTTGCAAATATTCAGTGCTATCGACGGATTTGTTTTTCAAACAAACGCAGTTTTCATGAGCCGACAATCGGGCAGAATAGAGGATGTTATCAAATCTAAAGATGTTTGTTGTTTAGTATTATTAAACACAATGTAAACAAACAATTTATTACTAATTGGGAAATCTCTTAGGAATTAATTGTCTTCTAATACGATGTTTATTTCTTATTCGAAGCTGAATTTTAATTTAAATCTGTCTTAATTAAATGCTATTTCCGTCTGCGATAAATATTTCGATATCAATGTTAAGAAATTAATGCGCAAGATTATTTTGTAAATGTAACCTAACATTTCTAAATATCATTACTAAACAAATTGCAAAATTTCTGCAACCATTGCAAACTGTAGGAAAATATCACGCGTTTAATTATCAAAATAGTGATTGTGTACTAATGAGTACTTACTAACAGTGGGTTCCCACGGATTATAAATGCATATGGTGAATATTGTTATTTCAGTTTTTTCTGTCAAAATGAAAGAGATGACGATATTTTTTTGTATGAATATTTCGGTAGTGGAAACCTTCACTTTATAATTGCAGTACTGACCTTGGTTTCGGTAAGAGTTACTATAAATTAATCACGTATATTACTGACGTTAAATGCAGTTGCTGATGGTTAATTGTTGCGTAGAAATAACCGTTACAGATAAGTGAGCCGTATCGACTTTGAATATGTATAAAATGTGAATTGGTACGTGTTTAATAGATCATTAATCTCGAACAAACCAACGCAATGGGTCCGCGAATAGGGTTGCCACCTTGGTTTGCATTGTCCATATTCTGGTTATACGTATAACATCGATGTCTACGCTGCATTGAAAAATCACAAAGAAGATAGAGTGAGGTGTAAAATATGTCATTGAATGTCATTTTGTCGGCTCATAAGCATCAACTTACATTTTTTTGCTGTCTTTTTTCGTTAAGTTTGGTTCGGGTTTGTTGAAGTTGGCGGCCCTATGCGTGAATGCTTTTAATACATCACGGTTTCCATATGCGCTTGTTATGTACTGAGGATCGTCTATTCATGTATTGTTAAGTCTGTTCGCATGATTGCCGATAGGGAATAAACTCCCAGTATTGTTCATGTAATGACACATAATTACCATTAAAAAACCAGTGGCCTCATAGTATGGACAAACAAGGAAATTATGAAACTATTTATTTTCCGTGGTTTTATGTTCCGTTCGTATAATGTCCCGTAATTTTTTTAAATAGCGACTTTAGATTTCGAGATTTAGGAATTGAAAATGTTAATATCAGAAACAGCTGGGCTGATTTTGATGGGGTTTTACTGAAAGGTAACTGATGTTTGCAAGAATTACTTAGGCTAATCCTTTTTTTTTTAATTTCACACAATCGCGAGCAACACCTAGTAAATAATAAAGCTAATAAAAACAGTGTTCTCTTAGAAAAATTTAGGAACATAATTAAAACACATTTACTTTAACCGATTCGAAAGGAGTCTACAAAATGATATAATGATTAGTAAGAAAGTCTGTGCAATTGTATTGTATTTTTCGCCATTGTTTCAGATTTAAAATAAAAAAAAAAGTATATCCCGTAATGCTTTCTGCACGTAATTGCACATCGTTGCAAGGGTGTTAACATATGTTTACCTAAATTGAGGCAACGCGTAGCTGTCGCAAGGCATTAGAGACGGTTCGCGGGTAATGAACATCCGACGTTCTTCCGGATCTAATTGCAAAGCCGCGACACGACGGTCGACTGAGTCTTTTGTACGTGCTTACAAATCGACGACTTAATAGAAAACAAGACAATTTGTTTCATATTTCCCTCGGTTTTGATGTTTTCAATTCGCTCATCAGTCTCGGTGGCAAAAGTGGTCCGCCATCGATACGTCACGCTGCTTGTCAATCGGAGCGGCCGGCAGAGACGTGGGCTTGATGGCACAGTTTCGACCTCGTTGTTATTGCTTGTGATTTCACCGTCCACGAGTAAAGACAATTGCTTACCGAATCCTGAAAGAACTCAAACAAATCGCCACATCTTTATTTTAATCATCGATGAGAAATGTTATTGACAATCAGTTATTGCGTTTTTATTTTCATTAAACAATATTTCTTGAATGTGTCAAAGGTTGACTGAATACTGAAAGCCTCATTTGTTTTCACTATAAACAAAAATAGCACAGTGATAAAACATATGCTACAAAAGTTTTCGGTTATTCCTTAGGCATTTCGATTTCATCTATCGATGTATTTTTGCTTATGTGTTTCTTTGTGAGCATTAGTTCATACAACTTACAGTTATCTCATTAGATCCGACGAGTTATCAATTTAGCTTACAAGATATCCACTGTGCTCTAACAGTGTAGCCATGCGTAATTAGGTTCACGTCTATCAACGCCTTGTGATGTAATTACAACTCTGGCATAAATACTACTGATGTGATGTTAATGATATTTTGAATGTATTCATGAACATTTATTAAATTTCAATCAATCCACGTTTTATATTTCACCAAATTTGTGTGATGACGCAAATTTTCTTTCATATTTTATTAGTTTTATGCTACTGTTATTGACATAAATATGTTTGTATAAAAGTAATGTAGAAATAATGTAATTACAAGTGGTTTTTCGTTGCATACGTTATTTGTGAACAACCTATACAGGTTTTTTAGCCGCTTTAGAAGTTTATAACTATAACTGCAAGTTATTTACGATTCTTTTGTATTAATATATTTAACCTAAATTTTGTATTTATTAATGTTACAGTTATTCTCACTTTTAAAACGCAACATATTGACTTCCTAACTAAGAATGCTATGGGTTTTTGAGGTCCTAGTGCCACCGAAAAAACAATTAAATAACCAAAATTTAGTTAAATATAATCTCAAACTTAAAGTACTTTATGACAATACTAGCTGTTACCGTGCGACTTCATCCGCATAAAATTGTGAAAATATTATTTTGTTGTTTACATGTGTTAAATTATCAATTGCAAATGTCAAAAATGTGACATTATGACAAACCATGGCAACCTTGCTTCCTTGATGTGGGCAGCAACTTATGGTCTCTTTCCCACATTAGGGTTTTTATCCAAAACATTTACCCCTATGTTTAATGGCGTGAAATATAGAGCTTAAAGCGTGACTTAAGTGTAGGGCTTTTTATGAAAAAAAGATTTATTCAAAAATGTTGTAGTTGCTGGCATCTTAGGCAACAAAGAAGTGTGTGTTTACGCTTTCTTATAATAGTATAGATAAAATTGTAATGTAATTTAGCACCTTACATATTCAAATATAACGTGCAAAAGAATCATACAATACAGTGATCCAATCTTCAGATCATGTCAAATGACCATTACGTGAATATCAACATGCTATAATCCCATTGTCAATTGGAAACTAACACTTAATGCATAAAGATGACTAATTATCATAATTGTGGCCGATCGATTGGCCGAAGATAAATTGCCGTAATTAGGTTCTGACGTCTGTCGTGTCAAGGCCAGAGATGTGTCCACGCCTTATTGACTTGAAACTATATTCGATTAGCAATGATTAATCTGGTGTTATTGCACCAATTGTTATAAGACGTCCTTTAACTTATCCATACTATACTATATTATTATAATAAAGCGTAAACACACACTACTTTGTTGCCTAAGATGTCAGCAATTACGGTATATTTTTAAATAATTCTTTCATTAATAAAAAGACCTACACTTACGTTACGCTTTAGGCTACATATTTTAGGGGATAAATATTTTGGATTAAAACTCTAGTGTGGGAAAGAGACCGTAAGTTGCTGCCAACATCAAGGAAACAAGATTGGCAAGGTTTGTCATGTCATGTCATTTTGACATTTGCTATTGATAATTTGACAAATGTGAACAATAAAATAAAATTTCCATTTATGCGGATGGAGCCGCGCGGGAACAGCTAGTTCAATCATATAGGAATCTAAAGATAAGACTTATTAGAATAGAAAGGTATTTAAATATCTAGAGATTTAGAAAGATTGTCTTATATTTAAATACTATCGTATTTATAAAAGTAATTTGGCCATTAAAATTGGAAATGTCAACGTTGAGTATAATCATATAATAAAATGTTTAAAATAGCGAAATTTACTAGTATAATTTTGTGGATAGTAAAAGCTTTTTACATAATAGCCATATCTGTTTAATTATTATTTTTATCTTTTACCGTTGCTTATTATCATTAACTAAACAAACCACACAGTGGTAACAAATCTAATGATGTTTTTGATGGTATAAATTTATCCATAACTTTTTACTGTAACGTTAAATGGTTGAGCGACATACACGCACTAAATGTCGCGGACACAGAACAATAATTATGTTAAGCCTTAGGTAATGTTACGATGACTTAGGTCTGTATCAATATGTACCTAATAGTGGGTTTTCATTGCCAAAACACATGTACTGAAACATCGCTATAATTAATGTGATAAAAAGAGTTATTTTACATTTAAGTAAATCTATATCTATACTATTATAATAATGCGTAAACACACACTTCTTTGTTGCCTAAGATGTCAGCAATTACAGCATATTTTTGAATAATTCTTTTTTTTAATAAAAAGCCCTACACTTAAGTCACGCTTTAGGCTATATATTTTAACGCCATTAAACTTAGGGGGTATATATTTTGGATAAAAACCCTTATGTGAGAAAGAGTCCATAAGTTGCTGCCAACATTAAGAAAGCAAGACTGCTAAGGGTTGTCATGTCATGTCATTTTGACATTTGCTATTGATAATTTGACAAATGTGAATAATAAAACGAAATTTTTATATTTTACACGGATGAAGTCGCACGAGAATAGCTAGTATATACTATACGGTAAGCGAAAGGCTGTTTTGACGTAGTGTATATTAGTGAATTATGTATGTATACTCTTATATTAATTTACTTATTGCTCATGTTAATTATTTAGATAAGTGATTGACCCGAACCTA